CTATTTGGAATAAACTACCCATGAGTGTGAAAACTCTGCAAAATTATCCTTTATTTAAGAGAACTATTACTCGATTTTTGCATTCAGAAAAGCTCCCACAAATTTTGGGTGCTGAATCTACTGATCGACTGTACCGTAGCGAAGGCGTTTGTGGTCTCTGAACACTATGGCCGGTCTCACCAGCTGTTCCTCAACGCCTCTACTTTGACTATCCCCAACTTCATGAAAGGAGTTTGACGTCCGATAATCTCCGATACCGTGCAACCTCCCCCCTTCTTGACGGTCGATATTCTACCACCTCCGACAGTTTTTTCTCCTGAGCCCTCCAAACCGCAAAAACCACCATCAACTATATTTTTATGCCTTAAGCTCAGGAGTTTTTTTTTCACTGCTGGCCGGATTTGTGGTTAATCGCTTCCCTTGACGATGCCTGTAAACTGGCATTAAATTAAAATTTATTTATTTATTTATTTATCCTTGTTTGTTTTGTTCAAAAGATTTTCTACATGCATTCCATGTGTAATACATAGGCACTTCCGAATACAGTACTGTTTTCGCAATCGCGAGTGGGAGGGTGTGGTATTAACTGCATGCAGGCATCACACCCGAGAGTTCCGGAGTAAACGGTGACAGCCCCATTAATGTGGGTTGTGGGACGTCCTGTAGATGACGTCGTTATGCCAGAAAAAAATCATTTTTTTACCTGTCACAGGCGTGTCATCTGCACGATTATGAGGGTAAACCTAAAAAAACCGGCTCTATGTGCAGGAAAGTTTGTCTTAAAAATTCAGTGCAATCGGTGCAATACTTTTGGAGATTACCGATAACACACAAACAAAGAGTTCCCCTTTTATTTATAAAGATATGACCAAAAACCTTAAAAGGCCAAAAAGCATAAGGCGAAGTCCGATATGACTCAGGCGTCATCTGTTTTGTAGGGCAGGGATAAGTAACAATGGAAATGGATCTGATGGAAATATCGGTGTAAATGTCTGCAGACGAAGAAGCGTTGGTGTAGATTCAATTATCGATCCCAAGGAACTCCCGACAGTGTTCAGCATTCCAGAAAGTTGCCAAGCAATATTGATTGACGATTTCTTTGTATAGTGTATGGTGTATTTCTAGGGTAATAGGCAATGCCCATTATGACTCTATTGAAACGGAATATAAAATATAAATGTTAAATTCTCATTTTACCAAAATTTTGCCAGTAACTTATTTGTTAACGGAAAACGTTTTTACAGTGCGGAACTGCGAAGAGTGCAGCAGGTGGTCTTTTCAATGTACATATGAAATTTTAAGTACAATTATGTGCAACCAACAAAAAGTGCAGTCATTTGCGTAGTTTGAGAAAGAAACTTTCATTAAACCTCAGGGATTTTACTTAGAGATAAAATCAAGAAATGAATTTTATGGCTGGCGCAGAGGGTCCTGCAGTGAGAGTCGTCATTTATCGAAGATCAAACGATCCATCTGCCTTTTGAAAACAGCATATAAGACTTGGACTCAAGTACATGCATCGCAGGATAAGTTTCATTTTAAATGGTTTTGAAGTGCAAAGGCGCGCCTTATTAGGTGCAAATAAAAATTCAGTTCGGGCGGTCCTCGCCCACCTAATCATTAGATGCCGAACCCGAAAACAGGTCTAAATCATTCACATGAAACATACCCTAATCCGCCAGTCCCTGCGGCCTACATTTACGAACGCAAACATCTTAACGTATGACATACTGTTTAATCTGCTTCAAATATTCAACAGTGAGTGAAAGGTATACGGATAATAGCCAATGCTGCATTAGTTCAAATAACAACTGACTTACAATAAGTAAGGATGAGAAATTATGCTCCCTTTTCTGTCATTCTCAAGAACTTAGTCGTGGATCATTACTCCATTTACTATCGTGTAGCTAATCATCTAAATGATGCCATCGAACTCTCTATCACCGTGCACTGAGTGTTATTTTCCTGGCCTTATATAATATCTACTATCGTTTTATTTGTTGAAAGGCAGATAGGAATTATTCCGGATATTAATAAGGAAGCATCAAGAACGTAGCTGCTTTTTCCGTGTTTCATTTATTTCGGATGATTAGCACAGATATGTGGTAATTACGAAAGTCCCATTTCTCAATTAATTGATTTCGTATGCGTGTTTTAATCAGTTAATCAACATCGTTCATTGAAGGTCACTAGAACGCAATTCAAGACGGCATCGTATTCTAACAAGCGATTGAGGACTTCAGGAGGACACCGTGCGTTTACACGTCTTTGTTAACTGTAACCGTTCTATTCTCGTCGCACTGCTCATTTTCTGGTCACAAAAATCACTGGGCTAGCACCTTATCATTTGTATCAGTACGCAAAGACTCCCTTGTTATGTCGAAAGAACATGTCCACATCGAATGCTGTTAGTTTAATGAGTTTTTAACGAGTTCTATTGTAGTTCTTATCGACCAACTTAAAATTAACATAAAGTTGCTGACCCTTACATGCTGCTTTATAATCATTTGGTTAATTCATTTGTTGTCTGTAAATTTGTTATTCATGAATGCCATAGTTACTTTATCCTGAAAAACGGAACCTTACATTATTTCCGGGTTCAGCTCATTCACTTAATGCTACCAAGTTGCAAAAAAGGCAACCACTGCATTCCGTTAGAACAAAATGGTCACTATAGTGTATCCTGTGTTAAATACGCATATTTCCACTGATGCTTTCTTATACTTCGGTGCATATTCTTATTATTTAATTTAAAGGTAAAAGTAGTTGTCCAAGCATTAGTCACGATGTTTGATGTTTTCTGTCCGAAAGCTTTAAGGGTGAACAATGAACGCCCATTTCCGTACTTTAAAACACCGAAAACTATGAAAGGAAGTTGTAATGTCACTTTTTTAAGACGCCCCAAATACCATATTCATGTATACCTTTCTCTTTGTTGTATTTTCACTGAAAAAACTTTTTAGACTTGAAGTACTCCATGGGATAGAGCATTGGGGTTGCCGCATATTCAAGTCTGCTACAAATTCCAGGATTTTGATTACACTGTCTTTATCTGCTTAGAACTCATTAAGCAAAAACCAATGATGTGCTGTCTTATGTCTTGTGGCATCTTAAATGATTCATAGAAAAATGAATGGATTGGCAGATCGTCGAAAAAAGAAGGACCTACAAGTACATTCTCAATTCCGAACGTGGTATTTTGAATTCACTGACGAAAGGTTCGATAGATGAGGGTTTTCAAAACAATTGAACATTTTAAGTCTACCTTTTTTGTCCTACGCTTAGCGCAAATCTTTTTATTTTCCGCTCTTAAGTAAAAAGTCTGCTCTATCTGCGAGCCTTTTGCCTTTGTTCTTAAGCAGAGAAGTAACACTAAGCTACGGGATATTGCCACAATCTTTTACACAGTCTAAAAAAATTTCAAATATCGCATGAAAGAATAAGAAAACGATTTACTCGAAACTATTGTTTCATTCTCTGTTTAATGCTAATTATTTTTTCTTCCACCCACTTTTTGAATGATTGCACTGTTTTACTGTATTAAACGTCATTTATATCTCCGAAGGTAGTATGCAAAACGGCGTATCATTCAGAGAATGGCTTGCACTGAGAAGAATATTTTACTGATTTGCTAAATTCCCACTAGAATTCTCTTACCACCCTAATTAAAAGCATAATTCACTATTAAAATTTGTACAACGTATAAGTTTTATTAGTCGTTTCTCAATCCTCATGATTGGATCTCTTAAACGATTTGGACCTGCAGTTGTTTGGAAGATATAAGTCGTACTTTGTTTTTTAGACGATGGACGTAAACTAAGCCCTTCAACATAAATTCTCCTGACAGCATGCGCTCCGAAAGCACATATTCAAGCAAAACTGCCAGTCTCGAGCGCCAGGTACCTGAGTTTTTGTGTTTGTGTTCATCTGTTATGATCGATATTTACTCCCTCTTTGTTGCACTCTATATCCTGTTTTTGCCTAAAATACAGACGCTGGTATTACGTAGACACGTCACATTCAAAATCGTAATTTTTGTTCTGTGCAGCAATCCGAAATTTCAGCGGAGTCCATCTCCTCTTCACAAATAAGCTTTGATGGCGGTGACGATGAAGGCACGTCAAAATCGATGGACGCTGAAGCTGTCCGAGAAGAGACGGAGAAATTGGCAAAAGCACAGTTAGAAAAAGCTCGTGTAAGTTTTTTGTCTACTACTTCTCACAATGAACTTTGGTTACTTTGTGTAGAGCAAACTTTATGATCTACATACATAGGGACAGAGAAACACAGACAAGTGACCGAATAAAACTAAGACTATAACAACCGTCTTTGCCATGCCAGCAATTTATCAGATAATTTGT